TCACAAATTGACTGCTGTGTTAATGTGAAATGACATGTAGACATGTGTTATTTGTTGTACCTGTTTAATAACATTTTATCATATACAGCTCCTTGGCTGAATGCACAGTAGTGTTTATGTAATGTTTTTGATTATGTTGTAATGGAAGAACTGAGTATTAACTGGGACGGGTCCCTTGTGGAAAAAAACATTTCACCTCAGTGTTTCCCACACATAGGCTTTACTTGGGCGGGCTGCCCAGGTAGATTAACAGCCGCCCAAGCAAATTTGGCGACCCATTTTAAGTGCAGTGCTGCACAGCACATATTCCCTCCCCTCACTCGGTCGCTCCCTCTCTCTCTCCTGTATGCAAACAACCCGTCTGTGAATTGAATGGTTGGTATTATGAACACCACTGCACACTTTAATAAAGTTATTAGCGAGCATGTAAGGAGCCTAGCCAATAAGGAAAGCTATGTTAACTTTAGAATGGGCCTACATCTGTCGAAGATAGCACGCTATTCATAACTGGTAGTCAATAGGTGCGTTTGAGATGACTGCGGCTGACTTTCGCTGATTTGATAGGCTAGTCCAATGTGAGATGCAGGCGACAGCAGGGGCAGGGTATAAAAACAGCTCCGTCAGACACAATCTACCTCCGGTAGACTGCGTGAGCTTACTGTGAGCTTCGAACAATGATCAGGCAAATAGGTGGTTGCAACTTTGTGCAGCCAGAGAAAAACAACCGCGTGCGCCAGACTCAGCGCCTGCCACCGCCTTGCTCCCGCGAGGTAATGTTATGTCATGGTGATGTGACATCATGGTAACGTTTTGCTGCGCTGGGTCTGAATTCTGCCTGCCTGCCGAGAAAAGAGGTGGATGCAAATCTCGGCAGGTATAATGATGGGATGTGTATAGTGTACTTTTCAGTAATACTGATCATATGTCATCATTTTACTAATTTTATTTTATTTATTGAAGGTATTTTGGTCAAGATGCAATACATGCTGCTGTACCTTTTAATGTACATAAATTTATTTTGTAATATACACAAAGTTAAAGTTTTTTAGTTGTCTGTATGTGTGTGTGTGTGTGTGTGTGTGTGTGTGTGTGTGTGTGTTGTAAAAGCCTTTTTTACTGGTTTTTAATATTATGCTAAAAGGACATTTTGCAAGATATTTTTAATGCATTAATAATGTATTATTCTCATACTGAATGGTTTCATAAAGCAGCTTCCCAAGATATAGTAGAAGAATAGTGGCTCTTGGAGTATACTAGTAATAAATTACTAATATGCTGAAATGCTAATAAAAATGTTCAGGGAACACATTTAAAATATATTTAAACTGTTCTTCAAGTATAGCACAAAAGGGTATTTTAAGTAAAATTTTAAAAAGTATACTTAAATTACAGTAAAGGTACTTAAAATAGGTCCATTTTAACACAACTAAGTATATTAAAATATATTGCAATTATCTTAAAGTCGACTTTAAGTATTTCTAAAATGACACTTAACATACTTTAAGTTGTTCCAAAATAACACTTTTTTTTTTTTTTTTACATTATATTTATTGAATTTCATATACACTTGGTATAGTACAATTAAAATATGGTAAGTGAATCCAAAAAAAGTGCTACTTAAGTATATTTCTTTTTCACTTGGGTTGACACATTTAAACACCTATGTGTCTGTGGCGTGTTGAAATCTCAATTATCAAGACCCCAAACCCGTCAAATGTGAGCAGACACGTCACCGAAGGCAACAACCTGGCCTTGACATTTCAAAAAGTCTGATAAGGCACACACGCACAGGGTTTGTTTTCAATTCAATGTTGCATAACCAGTGATCACTTACTGTCCTTTATGTATGTGCATATGTCTCCCTCTGTTGGATGAAGTACAACATTGCACACTGCAGCCAAAGATAGTCTATTTAAAAGAGGAGCCACTCCTCAGCAAATAGCTTGGCGCCTTCCTGCCAGCTGTGGGTTTCAGGTTGTGGCCTTTTGGCTAAATTGACATGACTTTGATGTTAATTCATGCGTGCTGGCCATGATGAATAAATAGATAAAGTATGCAACTTTGCAAAGGCACCAACAGTTCTCTGCTCAGTTGGATACAGTAAAAGAAAAAACCTTGCACATACCTAAATAATTAAATAAAGCAGGGTGGGAAGGGGGACTAAACCATATTTAAAAAGCATGATTAATATTTTCTTTGACCCCTCCTCTCGCCTCAGAGAAAAACTGCAACACCCTTCCCCCAATATCTCAAACTAATCTCACAGAACTGGGATGGAATTGTTCATTTCACCATTTTTAACTAAAATAAATTTAAAAAAACAACAACAAGCAAAAACTAAGGAATTAACAAACATTAAAATGTTAATAGAACAATTATTTTCAAAAGTGGGATTAAAATAGGAATTGCAAAAATACTGCTGAGGTGCTTAAAGGCCAATTAATACTTCTGTACTTTATTTCAGTAAGTTTCAGTTCCTAATTGCTCATAAAAAAGCTGAAAGTGTGGAAATTCAGTCAAAATAACAATTATAATCATTATTATTATTGTAATAATCATTATGATCTCTTTAGCTGCATTCAATAAAAGGACATTGAAACGAGCATATGCGCGTATTTTTGAATTTGATCAATTGTAGTTCAAGTAGGCCTATATTACTTTCATTTATATATTTATGAATCAATGTATTTTGCCTATGTAAATGTTTTGCGTTCATTGTATTTCACTGTGCCCTGCGATGGACTAGCGACCTGTCCAGGTTGTATCCCGCCTTTCGCCCGATGTCAGCTGGGATTGGCTCCAGCCCCCCGCGACCCTGTACGCAGGATAAGCGGTTGACAATGGATGGATGGTATTACACTGTATTTTAATTTTGTATTTTGTTGTGTATTGCATTTCAACTTATGGCTGAAATTTTGTTTGTTCCTGTTAAAATAAAGATTAAATAAAACTCTTCTTTAAGCTGTTGTATTCAAATGTTGGCTGGTTGGCTCATGTCAATGAATGAATCCGAGGTTCACTTCCATTTTGTTTGTTTGTTTGTTTTTTAAGGTCATCTTTATTGCAAAAATGGGATACAGATAAGTGACTTGCCAAAATATACATAACAATATACAGACATATAACATGTAGACAGAACAATACAGTTTTGCCAGGGGAAGCTTATAGGCCATTACAAAGAGAAAGTCAAGTCAAGTTTATTTATAAAGCACATTTAAAAACAACCAGAGTTGACCAAAGTGCTGGACAAGTTATACAGAAGAAGACATAAAAAATAAAACAGATAAATTAAAACAGCCCAAACAACAACAATCAACAACATACAGCAATAAGATGCTGTATGTTGAAAAGAACACAGTTAGATACAAAATAGATAAATAAAGACACAAGCGCAGGTGTCCCTAAACAGACTCAAACGCCAAAGAATAAAAATGTGTTTTAAGTCAAAAGTGGGAGATGATCTAATAATCAGGGGTAAATTATTCCACAGTCTCGGGGCCGCCATTACAAAGAGAAAGAGGACCATGGCTGTGTCCGAAATCCCCACTCATTCACTACTCCCTACCCCCTATTTAGGGAGTTGTATAGTGAGCTCACTCGCATTATTAAAACAACACTTTTGGACACTACTCTACGGTGGCTCCCAGGGCTCAGTGAGGAATTTTTTTTTGAGGACTACTTTGCGTTCCCTCACAATATGTTTTGCGTTCCCTCAATACCTGTCTTCTTCCGTTAGCCTACTTCCGAGCCATATGCTCGGCTGCTCTCAGCGCAACACTCCAGCTTATTGAATTTTACTTTGAACGGAGAATTTCCTATGTTGATGTAGTAGCCTGCTACTGCTCAATAGGCATATTTATGTAGGCTTTAATCAAAAAGGACCAGGCACCACGGCGGGTGATCGCACCAGAGGAGAGGGAAGACAGCCGCGATAGAGCCATGCTGGACCAGCTTGGACGTAAGGCTGCTCCCGGTAAATGTCCGGTCTGGAGGAGATGGGACCCATGCTGCCAAACACCAGAAAATTGAAGACTGTTAAGCCGACATCTTAACACAGACCTGCCCCATCAATGTCCTGGAGCATGCAGCGGGCACACCGTGTTCTGTCAGAGCGCAAGTCTCCGCCAAGATGAGAGGAAGCGGATTCTGTGTTTATTGGTGATGCTTGGTGCTGAAACAGTCAAAGTGGATGGACGCTGTTTCCTACATGTCAGACTTCATATGGAGGCTACATATCTCACATTATGCAATCCTGTCCACTCACTAGCCTATAGGCTAAATGTTCATGCTGCTACGGCAAGGTATTGCGAGGGAACACAAAACATATTGCGAGGGAACGCAAAAGTAGTCCTCAAAAAAATATTCCTCACTGAGCCCTCGGAGCCACCGTACTACTCCGATCGTTATTTTGGCGCCGTTAATTACGTCATTGCCGTCGGACAGTCATTTTTTTCCTATCAGTGCAGTGCATGATGGTATATACAGCTTGGTTAGTGACCATTGGTTGTACACTACTTTTCAAAATGCATTCTGGGATACATTGAGTGGACTATATAGAGTATAATAATTATCACTATACATTCGGACAGCACTACAAAATGGTGAGCTCACTATATAGTGAGTAGTGGGTGATTTTGGACACAGCCCATACGTTCACGGTTTTAACTGCCTTTTTGTTGTTGCCAGAAATCAGATTAATATCATGTACAACATCATGGAGAAAAAGTACAAAATTTGTTTTTTTGCTCTGAATTTACATTTATGAATGTGAAATTTTGCCAAAAGAATTATTAAATTTATAATGAAGTAGATCTTTTCTTTACTTTGACTTCTATAAAAGCAAAATACAACATTCTCCCACAATAACACTTCCTGTTTGGTTGTATCGTGAAATAGGCACAGAGTGACGCCTCTGACGTGTTTCCATCTCTCTGGCTCTGCCTCTCATTGGTCCAGCTGCTCCTCTGTGATTGGCCCGGAGCGCAGCCCCAAAGCGGAAGAGCTTATGTTCAGATTTCACAGCTGCGATGAACCAGAGGAGGATGTGGAAACCGACGTTTAACGGTCCTTTGTCGGCTTTTTAAGTACACGAAACGACTTTTATAGGTAGATGAAGAGCGAGTCACAGCCGACGATATGATTTCAGCGGCGTACTTGTGGTTTTTCTTGATAATTGCGTCGGTCGGAGCAGCTAAGACTGGAGGGGACGATGAGTGGGTTCATCTTCCGAACAAATGTGAAGGTAAACTGCCTGTTAGCGGCGCATGGTTCCCCAAAACCTGGTCCGAGGGCCTCCAGGGGTGCGCAGCAGCATGAGAAATAGATAAAGTCACTGTAATTTCACTGTCTGGTGGCTCACACTGAGAAAATGGCCTGAGGTTTGTTAGGATATGTCTGCTAAACACAATCTGCTTAATCAAACATCAACAACATCCTCAAAACAACTTAAGACCAAATGATATTCAGGTCATATTTAGTTGTTTTGAGTAGAGCTACGATTAATTGTGTGTTCAGATTGCCTGCTAGATTGACTCTGGAAAATGAAAAAATTTATGATGCACCTGTTACCATGTCTTACAAATAGTTTAACCAATATCAATAATAACTTAATAATAATTATGTTACACGCAACAAAAAAGGGCAACTTACTCAATTGGTGAAGACTACATTTTGCCATTATTGTTTATTAGAGTATTAGTTTGACGAATGCAATGTCAAAATTCATATATGTGTATATGAATAATGCAAAGTTTAACAATCGTAATGATGGTAATTTAAATAGAAGTAACAGTAAAAACCAGCGCCCGACTGATACTGATTTTTGAGGCCAAAAACTATAAACAAGTATCTTTTAATATAAACATAAACACACATTTTTGTTGAGGATCCCTTTAATTTGTGTATTAAATAACTTTGACCAAAGTACGGAGTGGGACGTTTTACAGCTTACATTGATTATGGAACAGTGATTTCTAAATAATCTTATATAATTTTGACATTTCTGTACTCTACTGTCCTACATATATGCCAGTACATCTGTAGCTAGCTATCTATCTATATATATATATATATATATATATATATATATATATATATATATATATATATATATATATATATATATATATATATATATATATATATGAGAGATATAATATATATATATATATATATATATATATATATATATATATATATATATATATATATATATATATATATATATATATATATATATATGAGAGATATATATATATGAGATATATATATATATATATATATAAGAGATGGAGATATAAGAGATGGAGATATAAATTTAATAGGAACCTGCAGGGTCACTGAACATTTAAGACAACTGTAAAGAGTCAGTTCTCATTAAGGAAATATTTATGCTGAGGACAGAAGTAAACTCTCCGTCTCCCTCTCCAGTGTGTAAGTTTGTCAGCATCGAGATGAAGTCGGCGTTCGACGAGACGGGGAAGACCAAGGAAGTCATCGACACGAACTATGGCTTCATAGACAGCAAGGGGACGGCGCCAATCAAATATGTCAAGTCGTAAGTGTGTGTGGTGTATGTTATGTGTTAAGTCTTTTCATTTTCTGATGATTCTGCATGAAATGTCAAACAAAAAATAGTTTTATTTTAGTTACAGAGAAGAAACTAAACCTGCCACCATGCTGTCTGTGGAAGGACATGGTCTGCTGAGATGTTTCCGGATCTTTCTGACACACACGAACACACACACACACACACAGAAGCAGCAGGGGACAGGAACTTGGTCAGGTCTCAGTTCCTGTGGAGGGACTTATTATAGAACGGGGAAGCTGCTGAACTGGTTAGGGTGGTGGATGAGTGATAACAGAGCTCCGCCTGGAAGAGTTGAAAGTGTTTCTCTTTGAGCCTGAAAAAGTCTTTAAACTCCAGTACAGTGACTCACTCCCCGAAAAAGTGAGCGCCACTTGGTCGGGCATCACCCAACAAAACCACTTTCACTAGAACAGCATCACGTTAACCGAGCTCGCACTGACTGCTTCAGCCCTTCGAGACGCAGATGGAAACTACTGAGGTGCTGCTCAGAGTCCACGAGGTCGTCACAGACCTTGTGGACTGAAACAGTTTGAAAAACAACAACATGTCGTGTCGGTCAACTCAACAGCAGAAGCAGCTCTGAAATAAAAGGACTGCACCTTGTGAATATCCCATCGTCCACATCTGGAAAGTCAAATATAAACACAACGCTGACTGGAGTTCTGTTCCCTGACAAAACCGGAAATATCCAAACATATTGTGGTCAAAAATTAAAAAAGCTTTGAATCTGAAAGCTGCAGATAACCTGACATCTCTCTCTCTCCTCCCCCCTCCCTACAGAGACCTCAGATTCATCGAGGTTGTAGAAAATGTGTGTCAGAGGCTGTTAGAGTACAATCTGCACAAAGAGAGAACTGGTAGTAACCGCTTTGCCAAGGTCAGTTAGAGTGTGTGTGTGTGTGTGTGTGTGTGTGTGTGTGTGTGTGTGTTTTGTCTTCATGTTGTGTTGCTTCAGTTTGATGTTAAGTCTTGAGAAAAGTTATTTTAACAGATGTGTGCAGTGCGCATTTTAAATGAATGTTTCTATAAAACACATGAACGATGACCGTCCTTTCTAACATCATCCCAAAATGATAACGCTGCATTGTTAATCTCTGATGTACAGTGCTGAGGCTGTTTTGAGTGCAATGATTTTAGATTTGTGTTCACTCACTGCGTTTTGTTAATTGATTGAAAATATTCTATTAACATGTCTATTTTTGAAAGCATTCTTTCTTTACAGCATTTTTTCTACCCTGCCCTGGCCTAACACTTATTTTCACAGTGCTGTAAATATCTCCCTTATCACTGCACAAAGTGCCGTATATTTCTTTCTTTATATGTATTATGTTTATTGCAATGCATCAAATCACCAAACAAATTCTGATCCTCTTTATATTCTATTGCTTGTTTTGGTTTCCCACCCAGCATCTTCATTGTTTCCGTTCATTCCCATCAGCTCTGTTTTGTTCCTCTGAAATGTTTCAGACCGACAAAGAAAGTTGTTTAAGGAGCAGTTTCTAAAGACACCTGCAAAACCACTCTGCTCCACTGTACAGTGCACCTGCACAGCTTTGTAGCACTTCTTCTTTCTTTGTCTGCAGAATTTAAATTCTTTTCACCTATTTGCCGCCTTCTTTAAAGCGTTGTTGCTGCAGCTTTGTCTCCACAGTAAACTAACTTGTATCACAACACAAGTCAGTGAGGCAGCTGACTGAAACTCAACAAAGCGCCACGTAAAAACAGTTTGGAAATGATTGACTTTTGCAGTTAATGTGGTGAAAGCATTTGGGAACGTTGTGTTTTTTGTGACAGCGCTGTTAACATCTCTGCCCGTCTGCAGGGCATGTCGGAGACCTTCTCCACCCTTCATGGTTTGGTGAATAAAGGAGTGAATGTGGTGATGGATATTCCCTACGAGCTGTGGAACGAGACGTCAGCAGAAGTGGCCGACCTTAAAAAACAGGTACTTTTTCACATCCTCTGATTTTCAAGTCAAAGTGAGTTTGTCCTGAGAGCGCATCCCTTTTATTTTCCATCTTTGAATTTGAAAATCAGTCTGAAAACGCGCAGTTACAAAGAAAATCTGTATGTATCATATGTATATAATATATGTAAAGAAACTAAAAAACACAAATCTCAGCTTTAATCATTTTTCTTTTGTACATCTGTTAAAAAAATCAATTTGTGCATATGTGAACTGTTATGTAAAAAAGCATAGTTTTATGGTGTTGGATCCGATTGTGCTTCAGAGGGCTGCGATGCGATGATAAAACAATTATTGATGCATCTGGGTTTTTTTCAGGATTTCTTTTATCTCACTGTGTGACTATTTGGTACTTTTTAAAGCAAAGTATTTGTAATGATCCAAAATTAATTTACTTCCAATATCTTTTATTAATAAAATAAATGGAAGTGGTGTGGCGAGTCAGCTGGAAGGTTACATTTGCCGGCGCATAGCCCAGCATTGCAGACAACACGCAAGGGGGAAAAACGTTTGCCTGGCTCTCACCGATGGAGTACGGACGCAAATCCTTGGCAGTAAAAAGTTGCCATAGACTTTGTAATTTGCATCTAAGAATTGATCACCCCTCTTATATATTGTGTGTCAGTGTGATGTGTTGATAGAGCAGTACGAGGAGGTGATTGAGGACTGGTACAAAGGAAGTCAGGAGGAAGACCTGACCACTTATTTGTGTGAGAAACACGTCCTCAAAGGACAGGACAAAGGTAACACAAATACAGATCATATTTATTTTTCCATGTAGTTTCCTGTTAATCTGTCGCCCTCCATCTTTTCCTCCCCCTTTATCAACTTCTTCTCTATTTATATTTTTCTCTTTTTCCTTTGCCCCTTTCCTTCTATTCCTTTTTATCTCAATTTCTCTTTTCCTTTTGTTTATATATTTGCTGTTGTTCTACCCTTCTCTGGCCTCTGTTATTCTTCCTTCCACCTTTTGACTTAATCCTTCCTGTCTTTCTACACTTCATTCTTCCCTCCTTTATTCTAATCTTTCCTCTATTTTCTTATTTCACCATTTCTCTCTTCCCTTTCTCCATTTTTTTAAAAAAAAATTTCTGTCCAGCCTGCCTGAGCGAGGATTGGACCAAGAGGAAGAAGGGAGACCAGGCGGCCATTGCGGAGGACAAGAAGAAGAAGAAGAAGACAAAGAAGACTGGAGTGAAGAAGGGAAAGGGCAAGAGTGAGGAGGGAGAAGTGCGAGGGGACGGCAGCTCCGAGGGAGAGAAGGCGACCAAGAAGAAGAAGGAGAAGAAGGTGAAGAAGAAGAAAAAGAGCAAGGCCCCGGTGGAGAAGATGGACGGAGGGATGACGTCGGACGAGGAGGTCCAGCCACAGATGCCTCTGTCCGGGCAGAAGATGGAGCTGTGAGCCCTGGTTCCTGTCTGGACCTGGATGAGCCCTCCTTAATGAAAGTAAACTCTTAGTAAACGCAGTCTGCAGCTTCTTTAAACGTCTTCAACTGTTGTCAACACTGAGGCTCAAATCCGTGCATTTCCTGATCAGATCTCGTACTGGTACACGGTTTTTAATATTCGTCGCATTTGTAAATGGCCATGGGTTTTTGAAAATTAAGATTCATCTTGGTGGAACTTGCAGGCACCCTTAATAACTTTAATCTTCGCTTCAGAGTTAATACCAGTTTATATTACAGCTTGGGTGTTATTTTCATACCCTTCGTTTATATTGGTTATGTTGCGTTATAATTGCTGAGATCTGGGAGCATGTTGACCTCACAGAAATTAAATTCACAGGGCAAGAAACACGACAATCTGACTGCTCGTTAACAGCGCTACACAGATGTTTTTTTTATTTATTAGAATCAATTAAAAAAATAAACAGAACAGTTGTGCAGGAAGGATATGCCTATAATTCAGTCAACAAAACTAATCGGCAACAATGTGGATTAATCATTTAAGATGTTTGTTCTGTTGCCAAATGTGATGCGTTGCTGTATTTCTCTGGTTTAAATGACAAAACTTGCGAAGGGAATTTTTTAATTTTTTTTTTTTTGCCATTTTATCAACAAAAATCCATCAATTAATCCAAAAGTAATTAAATGCATCATTAGTTGCAGCAACGCAAACACTGGAACCTGTGTACTTCAATGATTTTGAACTTGACCGTCAGAGCTCCAGATCTAAAAGGATGTTTAGTTTTCTTTCCTACTCTCTCCGTTGAATGTAGATGTAGATTTGCAGTGGGATTTATGCTGTGTCTCCTCATAATGTGAATTTTCTGTTTTTATAAAAAAAATCTTGTATTTACTTATATATTCCATCTGAAAACTGGGACTTTACGATCTTCGGATTGTGTTTCCTGAGAAGGGTAACTTATCCGTCAGCACTCTACCTGTATATAAACCATTCATTGATCATGATACAGAATTGCATTTCTTTTTTTAATTTTTTTTTTTATATTTCCGTATTTCACACTGTTTTATATCAGTAGAGGAAAGTGACAACCAGATCTGACCTTTGTAACCATCTCAAGTAATGCAGGCCAGATTATTATTTAATATCCTTAAAGTCTCAGATTCGTTGAAATTCCCCTTTAATGAGTAAATACAACATGAGGTACTTTTTTTTTTTTTTTTTTTCCTAAATGTCAGTGATATGTGTTTCTTTAATTTGTCATTTATTGTTTTGTTGCTTCTTGTGTGTGCTGTACAAAAGCTGCTATTTAAGAGTGTGTCTCTGTGTGTGTTTGTTGATTCCCAAGATGAAGGGGGGAGGTGTGTGTGTGTGGGCGTGTGTTTGCGCGTGTGTGGGCGTCTGTGTGTGGGCGTGTGCGTGCGCGTGCAGATTTTTATTCTGTATTAAAATGCTGACTGTGTTGTATTGGAGTTGCTTTTACCATGAGCAAGCACATGAGTGGATCAATAAACACAGGTTTGAAAACTCTGTAAACACATTGTAAATGAATTGATCAGGTCCTGGTTTTCAGTGTAAACTTAAAATGGGGTGTTATCAAGAAGCCTGTCACAACATCACTACAGTCTAAAAAGAGTGCTTCATAACAGCTACATAATCAAGACAATACATTAACAGTAAATTGTCCAGCGGTTAATTGCAATCGTTCTGTGTGAAATTTACACTTGAGACCACTAGAGGGAGGCAGAGCTTTAGACTTGCTCTGTCAACACAGTTCATTTATAACAGTGATAACAGTTTCAATATAAAAGGAGATTTTATTCCTTTTAATTATTGTGCAGCTTGATTTTATGCCTTAAGTTCAAGTTATGATAGCACAGATGAAATTGTTGTTCAGTTAGATATTACAATATGTCCATTGCTGAAGGAGTAACAGAAGAAGAAAAAACATATTTCTACTTCCAGGGAGAAGCTTTTATTGATAAAAATGTAGTACTTTCTGTTATTTTACACCCCCTGCTTTGCAGGCCAGAATACTCATCGCAACAGGCTGAATGAATGAATACCAGTTAGGGCCGTAGCTATCGCTGCAGCCATGCTGTCAGTGGTATTTCTTGAAAATGATAGGGTTTATAATACCTTAGAGAAGAATTTACATCTGCACAGCTTCGCCGCAGCATCTTTACTGCTCACGATGAGGCCAAGACAGCTGGGGAAGTCACTGCACCCAGCTGTGGCTTGCCAAAAAAAGGTAGTTCATTTAACTCCTCTAAAAACTTTTGTTTATGTGTGTTATTAAAACAAGATACCACAAGTAAATAATTGAGGGGTAGGGGTGTGTATTGTTGAACTTGGGTTAGAAACAAACTTTCTCCCCTGCTTCCAATCTTTATGCTGTGTTAAGCTAAGCTAATCGCTTCCCAGCTAGAATGATTTCATCCATCTAGGCAAATAAAATATGGAACTAAACTCAACTTAAAATGAATAAACAACATAAAACCTTTCAAATAGTTTTACAGGGTTAGGTTGGGGGCTAGTCAAAACATTTTATTTGTGCTTTCTAGCTGGCTACAGATAAAATCTGCCAGGGACAGTCGTCATTGTAGCTGGTATTGGAAATATTAAGTTGAAAAGCTGAACTGCATAATTGTGCTATTCTAGCAAAGCTTGGCAGGAACCCAAGTGTAATCAGTTGGATGCAAGGCAAGCAGACCCTCCAAAGAAAAAGGAAGAGATAAAAGTCATAATGATCAGGTTCAAGAGAGGGATAGGCCGAGTAAGCAGATAGGAAAGACTCAAGAAGTAAGAGAGATCAAAACAGGTGGGAAGCACAATGAATATTGTTCATTAGCATTTGTGGCCATGGTGAATAACTGTGCAGCTAAGGCGGAAAGGAAATCTGAACAGAAATAATTGTTGATGCTGCGAGAAAGTTTTGGATATCGAGGGAATTACAGAAGAGGAAGTGCAGGCGGCTGTTGAGAGAGGCTTTCAGGGCCTCTCAGTGCCCAAATTGAGTAGGCTAGATTAGAGATTGAGATGAGGGGTGGGGAAGAATTTATAAACTTATTAAAAATTTATTAATTAATTACAGTTTTTTAGTTTTGAAGTTAGATTGGATAGAAAAAATAGTATTGTTTTCAAACAAAGCATTAATGCCGCTATTCGGTTGAAAACTGGCTCTAAAAACCGAAGAAGAAGAAAACGTTAAATTCAACAGCTCTTTCACGCGGGCATAGGAACCGTCTCTAAGGGGGCGTGGCTTAGCGAAGGGTCAAAGGTCAGCAGTCACTCATCGCTCACTTGCGAAGAGGGGAATGAATGGCAGCTTAAAGCTATCTTAGCTACTTTTAACGGAGCTCTGTTCATATGGCAGACGTTTTATTAAGCTTGTCGCAAGGGAAGAAAATGAAGAGTTCAAATTCTGCTGTGATATACTCAAAGATAGCTGCTCCCGCGCTTTTGTTCCGAAGTAGCTAGCTTAGCTAACGTGGACAAACATGGCTGCCAATTATTTAGCCCTAAAATAACCTGCCAGCACCTAACGTTACAGTGGAGGTCACAGAAGAGGGACTTTCCATCTCTTGTTGAAGTACTGGACCGTTTTTCCTGAGATGAATGGTGTCCTAAAGGCTCATCCAGTCATCAAAGGTAAGCTAGTTATGATATTTTGGGGGATGTGTTCGTTATAGACATTAGGGCAGAAACTATCCGCCATATCAGTGAAAAAAGTGTTCAGATCTTGTACTTGAGTAAAGGTTAAAACATAATAAACCTGCAGTTAATAAAAGTGACATCATCAAAAGTAATTTAAGTACAAAAGTACTCATAAATGCCAAATGGTTGATTTTTCGTAACATGCATGTTATATTACAGGATTATAACTATTGATGCTTTAATATGTAATCAAACCAAACTAAATGTTGCAGCCGGTAAAAGTAACATTAACGCGAATTTCAGCTACTTTATCAACTCATTGGTAGCTTAATCTACAACACTATATCATAATACATCAGTTTATTAATATTTTGTATTAACATCTGATCCTGCAAAGTAACTGACAGAGCTGACACTTAATAATTACAATATTTTCCTTAAAAATGTAATGGAGCAGAAATATAAAGAAGCATAATAATGGAATGGAAATAACCAAGTAAATACATGTACCTCAAAATTGTACTCAAGTCCAGTACTTGTGTAAATGTACTAGTTACACCGCTGCGATTAGTTGGTTTATCAATTAATTGATGAACAGAAAAGTAATCAGTAGCTGTTGCCATGGTTCAAAGTATTTATCAAGCTCGCATGCCAAACATTTTCTGCTTCTCAAATTTGATGATTCGCTGCCTTTCTTATGTTTTTATGTTAATGTCATTGAATATTTTTGTGTTTTGGCTGGTCAGTCACACAGAAAATGCAGTTGAAGATCACATCTTGGACTCAGAGAAATTGTGATGGGCTTATTTATATAGACATCTAACAAAGATGTTTTTAATTTTTTTCATTCAATCGAATTGAATAAACAGGTAAATTGATAAAAAAAAAAAAAAAATCATTAGCTGCAGCCCTGGTGGACTTCAGGGTTCTTGTTTAGGTTTGTGCAGAAGTTTCTGTGTTATTGATGTTGCTGTATCTGCCATATGTGTCAGCTTGTTGTTATGTGGCCGCTGTGCCAGGCAGTCATGCTGTTATCAGGGGTGGATTTAGTGGCGGCCGGAGGGCAAACCAGGCATGGGACCTCCCTCCTGTCTCCTCACCTTTTCCCTAATTTGTAGTGTTGGTAATAAGGGTTGGTTATTGATTGCTGCAGTCATTTACCTTTTTACTATATGCTTTCCTGACATGAACCACACAGTGAACCAGGCTGGCATGTTGCTGCACTTTCTCTCTTCCTCCTTCACATATTAACCTCCTCTTCTTCTCTCCTCCTTAATGGGACTTATCTTTTGGGAGTTTTGCAACAAATGCTTGATCCTCCCTCGTGTCCTTTTCTTTTGGAGAGCCCTCTGTGATAACTCTGTTTCAGTGTTGTGGTTTGTTCAAGTAGGAGTATAGTTTTATATATATTGTATTTAAACATCATATTATATCTTTAGGGACCCTCTTGGGGTCGCAGTTCAGTCCGCCTCATATTTAGTTTCTGGTAGGCTTGTTCATTGATTTAAATTTTTTGCTGCTCATCTTTTGATGCCTATGTATCTTGGTTTAATGTTGCTGCTGTTGTGGCTATATGTGGCTAGATATGTATAGTGTATGTGATTATTAGTAAGTACCAGGCTGTGTATCACTGAAAACGGGCAAAAATGACTTAAATTAACTAGAAAATGAATCAGCAACTATTATGATACTCAGCTAATCACTTAAAGTGTTGGTTGTTGTTTTCTGTCACTGTAAATTCAAAATTTTCTGGCAGAAAATGTTTTTTTAAGATGTCACAGTAGGCTTTGGGAAATTGTGATGGACTGTTAGGGCTGCACAATTATGGCCAATTTTAGGGACAACACATTTTTATTGCACTTTCAAATTTAAATAAACAGGCAACTGTTTTCACATCGGCATTTCTGCTAATCATCAAAATAAGCCTGGTCCTTAAAGTGCATCATCTCCTAGAAGCAAAATATAAATAACATTTCACCTGGAAAGTGCACTGAGTCCGGCTACTGCTGCGCCACGTTTTTGTCCTGTCCTCTGCACAGCGTTAGCTTCCACTGGGAGCGTCTCAGACGCATTTCAGGAGCTGAGCACATTGTTGGCTTGTTGATATTTTGTCCTTTTTGTGCTTCTACTCTGCTGACCAGCAATGGCTCTCTGCAATCTGGTTTTGTTCGGTTGTCTGAATGGCTGCGTATCCAACAGGGAGCATTTCAGAATCAGAGCCTTTTGCCTGTCTGATTTTGCTGACATGTTTAGATTTTGTTGATTTGGTAATCGTAGCTTGTTTCTTGTGCTTCTTCTATGATTAAGTAGGCAATGTAGATAAATGGTTCTTTTTTGTCTGTTTTAACTGTGTTGTAGTTAATTTATGATCGGAAGTATGTAGGGTGTTTTATTTTGAAAATTGACTGGATTCTCTGTGCCGTTCTGTGTCTGACTTCCTGCCCAGTTTGATGTGCTCTGTGCAGCTTGGCACAGCTTCCGTCAAAAATAGACTTTTGTATTCTTCGCGGAGCTGAGAGCTGCTTCTGGCACGCGCTGCGTCTGATGGACTCCCAAGTATTGACTAGAAGGGCCGCTGTCTACTCTTGACTGTAGCAGCAGGAGGGTGCACATGCAACCAAATTGCCCCCCTTGGCTGTAAGTTGAGGAAGCGCTTGATTGATTCCATGAGTGGAGCACGCATTTTAAACGGCAAAATTGCCGTTGATCGTGTTCATTTAATTGTGGGAAGCTAAAATTGTAATCGCGATCAATATTTGATTAATTGTGCAGTCCTATGGACTGTTACTCACGATTTTCTGACACTTCATAGTCTAATTGCCCAGTTTATCAAAATGTTGATGGGCTTCTTGGACTTGCTGACAATGGAGAGGGCAGCATCAATTCTCCAAGACTTTAATAATGGATTCGATGAACCCTGGGACCTGGGAAAATAGTCATTCACTGTATTGGTCACCCAATGTTGATTTGATGCATTATTGAATTCACCCTCATGATATTTTGCTTTGCCATTGGTGGCGTTACATATGTTGTTTGACTTACTGTATCAATGTTGTGATTTTTTTTTTTTGATGTTGTAGTTTGGTTTCTTAAATTTTGAGTTATAAGAAATCCCCATATCATACAATCATATAATCCACAATGAAAATAATCCTACTGTCCTAATATGTTCAATGACAAAATGTTTGCACCCCCAAATTCCCTTGGAATAATACTTTGAGTGCACACTTTAACAGAAAAGAAAAAGGTAGGCAGAAAGTCACAAAGTGCTTTACTATGAAGAATACCTACAAATCAACGTCTTCGATGTACGATTTCTGCATATAAAAACAAAGTCACTTTTGATTTCATGGAAATTTTAAGAAGAATAAAACATATAAAAATAAATAAAAATTACTAGAAAATTAGGTGAAAAAAGCTCCAAAGTTTAGCCTGGACTAAGGAACAACCAAACCCTGATCAGGGGAATTTAGAGACCTGCTGGTGGAGCTCTAATGTGGGCCTGACCCTGTAGAGCTCAATGTAAGTGCCTACAAGAACCTTGAATTAGAATATGAATTTGATGGGTCGCTGGTGAAGAGAAATCAATCAATCGCAGTAAGATAAGGCCTCTTTTGGAGGACCCGGTCAAAAGCTTAGTGGCAGCAGCTGCAGTTTGACCTCTTGTAAATGATCCAGGGATGTTTTACTCAGGCAGGTGAGTGGGAGTTACAGTAATTGAGACGGGATGAGATAAAAGCATGAATTATCATTTCCACCTCCTCTTGAGATGCGCACACACACACTTTGACAATCTGAACAGCCCGGGGAGTCCACGCAGCAGTACCTCGTATCAAACTGTAGGTGTCACCCTGTCACTGAATGTAGCAGCAGATTTTGTTTCACCTTCCACTGAACTGACCAGCAGCTAAATCCACTTAAGCTGAGACAAAATGAAATGGCCTCTGTGTGTGTGTGTGTGTGTGTGTGTGTGTGTGTGTGTGTGTGTGTGTGTGTTTCCAAACTAAGTTCCATCCATCAGCCGTTTTCTTCTTCTCTATTCAAGACTCAAATCTACACACTTGTAGATTTGTGTGTGTGTGTGTGTTTTTAATGTTTGGTCTGAGACACTGGTTATCTCTTGACACTCGTGTGTGTTCATGACTTGAATATCATCTGTCCATCTTTAAAATATATATTGTGTTTGAATATAAGTGTGTGCGTGTGTGTGTGTGAGAGAGAAAGAGAAGGGTGTTTGTTGAATAATTCACAGCTGGGTGTTTATAGAAGACTCTGTGGCCTCGGAGCTCCAATAACACTGGACAAATATTGTGAGACACACACACACACACTCACACTCAGTCTTTATCAGCCAGTCCAGGGTTTACAGTTTATTTGGACACAGTGGACGGTGGAAATGGGATGTACCAAGTGTGGACAATCACACGCACACACACGTGCACACACACGTCCACACACATTTATGTTACCAATGGAGACCCCTCGGTGGCCTCATATGTTGCATATCTTCATCGTTTTCCATCCCTGTGAGGACACTGGGTTCTCATGTGGACAGAAAGTAATGTGTGTACACAAGCGTGTGCATGGGCGTGCGCGCACACACACACACACACACACACACACACACACACACACACACACACACACATTGGTGGGACAGATAATACCAGATGAAGATTGAAATGGGAGGAAGAATCAATATTTCCATTCAAACGTCTGTTTCATTTTCTCCAGATTAGAGGAGACCGTTTCTCTTTGTTCAATCACCAACCGCCCACAACACTGTCCGTGTGTGTGTGTGTGTGTGTGTGTGTGTGTGTGTAATATACAAGCTCACTGCTTCTTCTGTCTCTCACATGCCGTCTGAAATGATTTTCTGTCCCATGGAACAAGGGCACACAAACTAGTAAAATATACACACACACACACACACACACACCTATAAAATGCTACAGGCTTATTATCTGTACACATAGTGACGTGTATTGAGGGGA